ATTCATTCATTCATTCATTCATTCATTCATTCATTCATTCATTCATTCATTCATTCATACTTGACTGTGCCAGCTTATTGGAAAAGTAGTATGATGAAAACTAAAGTCCTCAGACACTCTGACTGCTTTATTTACTACGGGTAAAGTCGATTCAGGCGGGTAGCCGTGTCGGTCTGAAGCGGCAGAACGGAGTTTTAAGTCTGGTGGCACCTTCAAGACCAACAAAGTGCGTGCACACGAAAGCGTATACCCAGAGCAAAACTTTGTTGGTCTTAAAGGTACCACTGGACTCAAACTTTGTTCTATGGGTCAGGTCGTTATCCTTGCTGCTCAGACTCACATTAGTTTAATACTTTGGTGGAGGGTGGAGACCAGTGTTCCCTCTAAGCTGAGTTAGTGTGAGATAGCGCACAGGTTTTTAGCCTCCGGCTCACACATTGTTGTCTTAGCTCAGGAAGGACAGCTCCAGAGCAAACTAATTCATGCAGCGGCCAAATCGCTTGCTCACAACTTTAATGCCAGGAGCTCACAAAGTAGAATTTTTGCTCACAGGACTCCACAGCTTAGAGGGAAGAGTGGTGGAGACTGGACTTCCAATTTTTTTTTGGGGGGGGGGAGTTCCCAGCAGACAGATCTGCAGGGCCGCTGATGCCCAGGAGTTATCTGAATCGACTGGCCCCTGAAGGGCTGGCAGGGGCGTGGTGTCTCTCTTGGACTGCAGCAGCTATAGGCATAAGTACAAAGTACATCCAACATGCGCCTGCTCACGGGCTCGCGCCCAGTCTCACAGACGTACTGACGCTGGGGGAGATTCCCCTTTAAAAGCGCTCCGTTCTCTCAGCCCTAGGAGGGACATGTGGAACTGGAGGAAAGGGGAAGGAGAACCGGAGGAAAGGGGGGGAGCCCCTCCCACCACCCTTCCTGCCGGCAAAAGCGGGCTGGGAGGGAAACCGGAAGCTTCTTCTCCCCCCGCCCCCGCCTGCAGCGCTCCCTCACAATGCTGAGCGAATTAGCACTTTTTAAGATGGGTTCCCCCACAATGTCCGCCCGACTGCACCTCCATGACCCGGAGCATCATGTAGTTACGCCCTGTGACAACAGGGGTCAGTAGTGAGCTTGTGCCTACTTTGTTGTAGTCGTCGCTACAGCCCGGCGGAATCCTTTGCTCGCTTCAGGGGGTGGTTTTAATGCCCCAGTCTGCTCCCGGGAATCGCCCTTCTTTGAGAAGCGAGAGGTCACTTGCCTTTTACACTGAGAGCGGGAAAACATTTCAGGGAGGACGAGCCATGTCGCCTGCCTGAAATCTGGCTCCTGTAGCAAAACAAAGGCCTTTTGTTGTTGTTGTTGTTGTTCGGGACTACAGGAAGGGCAAAGGGCAGGGAAAAGTGGTACCGTGGGGAAAATGTTTACAGACACAGTCTCTGGCTAGAACAGATAAAGAATTGGTTTGCTTAAAAAAAAAATCCTCCACGCACGAGATGTTTTTGCTCCTCAGGACCCGCGGCCTGGTGGATCGAGCTCCGCCAACAGAACCTCTCGGTCCCAGCTTTGTCCCCAAACTAGCTGGGAGAGAAACAAATCTCCCCTAAGAAATCCAAGTGAAGTCCTTGTCGTTTCCCCCCGAGTTCTCGTGCTCCGGCGGGGAGTCGACTTCGCCGTCTTTATCGTCGTCCAAGATCAAGTCGTCTTGGGAAATCTCGATATCGTCTTTCCACTTGAGGTCATCGTCGTCCCCCATGTCTTCCTCCCCTTCGCCTTTGAGGCCATCGGGATCTTCCGTGTACGGACCTTCCACGCCGTACAACTCATCTGGCGAGCCGTCGCCTCCGTTCGCGTCCAAGTGGCTGGCCATGCCTTGGCCGGAACAATCCATGCAGATCCCGTGGCGGCGGGAGCCGTGCTTGATCCCCACGCTGGCGGCCGACATGAACACTCGGCTGCATACTTTACAGACGTATTTTTTGTCTTTGCTGTGAACCTTGGGGAAAAGGGAGAGAAGGCAGAATTAATGCGGGTTAAGGAGGCGGAGCGGAGGCTTCACGGCACCGAAGCAGCAAAATGGCGGGACAGTTTTAAGCAGCTGTCCTAAGTATCCGCCATGCTCGAGCAGACTTTCTTCTACCAGCAATGAAGGCGTAAAAGGAAGTATTCCTTTCCTACGGTGCGTGGTCAAACAGCGGAACTCACTACCACAGGATGTGGTGACGGCCACCAACTCGGAAGCTTTTAAGAAGAAGAGAAGAGAATGGATTTATACCCCGCCCTTCACTACCCGAAGGTGTCTCAGAGCGGCTTACAAACTCCTTTTCCCTTCTCCTCCCCACAACAGACACCCTGTGAGGTAAAAGAAGAAGCTTTTTTCCAAGGACAGCTCTTATCAGAACTATGGCTTGCCCAAGGTCATCCAGCACGTACAAGTGGAGGAGTGGGGAATCAAACCCGGTTCTCCCAGGTTAGAGTCCGCGCACTTAACCACTACACCAAACTGGCGGTCTTACACCTCACCCTTCACTACCCGAAGGTGTCTCAGAGTGGCTTACAAACTCCTTTCCCTTCCCCTCCCCACAACAGACACCTTGTGAGGTATGCAGGGCTGAGAGAGCTCTGACAGAAACTGCTCTTTTTCAAGAACAGCTGTGACAGAACTATGGCTTGCCCAAGGTCATCCAGCACGTACAAGTGGAGGAGTGGGGAATCAAACCCGGTTCTCCCAGGTTAGAGTCTGCGCACTTAACCACTGCACCAAACTGGCTCTACATCAAACACCAAAGGGGAATGGACAAATGCATGGCAGACAGGGCTATCAACACCTACGAGTCATGATGGATATCTACACCTGCTAGTACCGGAGGTAGTATGCCTCTTTAAATCAGTTGCTGGGGAACACGGGCTTGGCTTGCTGGGCCATGGGTCTGATCCAGCAGGGCTCTACTTATGCTCTTAAAAGCATAAACACAAACAACACCCACCAAGGGAAGACCATCTACAATTCACAACTAGGTTCAAAACTATATATTGCATTCATTGAAATACAAAGACGGGTTAGTGGTCACAACCCAATAGAGTGTATAGACACTGAGCCAACAGATTGCTTAGAACACAGTCTACAAAAAGAACATATTCAAAACCAACAGTCGGCTTCTCTTGTGTTCTTATGTTCCTGATTAAACTGATGGGCAGTAGGTTCAGGACAGACAAAAGGAAATACTACTTTACACAGAAAGTGATTAAAATGTGGAATTTGCTGCCAGAGGATGTTGTGATGGCCACAGGAATAAATGGCTTTAAGTCTATCATGGAGGCATAAGTCTATCAATGGCTACCAGCTGAGGGGAACCTCCACATTTAGAGGCACTAATCCTCTGAATCCCAGAGCTAGGAGACAACATCAGGGGAAGGCCTCGGCCACTATGCCCTGTTGCTGGCCCTCCAGAGGAACTGGTTGGCCTCTGTGTGAGACAGGACGCTGGACTAGATGGACCACGGGTCTGAACCAGCAGGGCTCTTCTTATGTAGGCCTTGGCCTCTATACCCTGTTGTTGGATCTCCAGAGGAACTGGTTGGCCCCTGTGTGAGACGGGATGCTGGACTAGATGGACCACTGGTCTGATCCAGCAGGGTTCTTCTGATGTTCTTAGGAAGGCCTCGGCCTATATGCCTTGTTGTTCACCCTCCAGAGGAACTTGCTGGCCACTGTGTGAGACGGGATGCTGGACTAGATGGACCACTGGTCTGATCCAGCAGGGTTCTTCTGATGTTCTTAGGAAGGCCTCGGCCTATATGCCTTGTTGTTCACCCTCCAGAGGAACTGATCGGACTCAGTTTGAGACAGCATGCTGGACTAGATGGACCCTGATCTGATCCATCTGATGTTCTTACGTTCTGAGCCCAGTCTCCCAGATCTTACTTCAATCTTGATACCATACTGGCTTCTCGCTTGGCGTCAAAGCTTGGAAGCCCCCGTTTCGGATAGGGATGCCAACCTGCTGGTGGGGCCTGGAGATCTTCCAGAACTAAAACTGCCTTCCAGACGACTGTGATTGGTTCCCCCGGTGAAAACATCTGCTTCCTGGCATGGACTCTGTGGCATCATACCCTGCTGGGGTCCCTAAGGACTCAATGGGTAACGGTTTTCAACGCCTAAGGATTTTTTGTTCGGAGAAGGCATTTGGAATCTGCGGTGAAACTCGTTTCTATTGAATTGCGCTTTATTTTTATTGTGGTTCCAAGGGAGTGGGCGTTACCTTTCCTGGTTCACAAAGTCTAGGCTAGTATGCGGGTGTGGAAGGAATGCTGGAAGATCCGGAATACTAGGTCCCTGTGTGCCTCATCCTCCGGGAAGCGAGTGACCACAGAGTTACACCTAGATAGGCAGACACTAAGCATCTTCCT